CTGTATAGAAGCTCTTTAACTTGATGTAGTCCCATCTATTTATCCTTGCCTTCACTATCATTGCTTTGGGTGCTGTATCTTCTAAGATGTTACTGAAGTGTATGTTATGTAGTCTTTGCTTCCAGGTATTTTATGGTTTCTGTTCTTTCTCTAGGTCTTTAATCCACTTGGAGTTGATTTTTGTATATGGTGCCAGGACTATTGTCTGAACAAACGTTCTTTGTTCCATTGTATCTTTTTTGCTCCTTTGTCAAAGATTAGCTGCCCATAAACCTGTGGGTTTATATCTGGGTTTTCTATTCGAATCCACCAGTCTGTGTATCTAGAACTCTGTTCAAATTTAATCCTGACAATTGCCCTTGTAAAATTGGCTTGGTTATCTGCATTTTGCATATTATGTATGACTTTCAAACATGTCAAGTGAGATAGTACTCACAGAGATAGTAATCCAGAATGCTCTGGACATGATTACCTATGTTTGAATTTGGTCTCAAAACAAGAAAGAAAGAATATCATAATCTCATGACAATACCAGCATTTTTGCAGGGACTAGGTGAAAACAGAGGAAGCACATTATAAGTGTTCATTAAGTGTTATGTGGCTGGAGGTAGGATTCGTTATTTGCATTTTGCCAGATCAGGATAATTAAAACCCTAAACGATTGTTCCAGCAGCATCTTGAAGTTACAGCTTGTGAGAGCCCTGCAGCTCATCAGAGCATTTAGAATCCAGGCTGACACAGCAGCTACTTCAAGGTTCCAGGGCAACAGATTGGTGTCCCCTATCCCTGGTGAGGGTGCCTCTTTGCGGAGGAAGTCAGCAATTGGCACTCCTCCTAAGTGCTTTCCTCCTCAAGGCAGCTAACTTTCCACCCTCTATTTCACATTCCTTTCTTCTCCTTGTGCACCAGCTCCCCTCTCCCCACTGCCCCCCCCCAACTACACCTCTCCTCATCGTGGCCCTTCTCCTTGTACTCCCTCTTTCCCTCCCATTCCAGTACTGGGCTTCCCCATCCTGTCCCCACTACCCTCCACTCTTTGCACCTCCTCCCTGCTCTCCTGCCTCTCTGCCCCTCTGTGCCCTAAAACGGATGGATCGTGTACCCCACCTGAGACTGTCTTATGTTTCTGCCTTTCCCATATTGCTCAAATTCCACTGGTCTCTCTCTGGGATATGGGCAGTTTTATCACTTACCCCAGCTTGATTGTTCAAGTGTACATTCCTCAAGAGTCTGTCCATGTCTTACGTCTCACTTATATACCTAACGCCCTTCACTTATATACCTAAGTAGGACTTATATGTCTGGGGCTCAAAACTATCTAGTTAAGACAAAGTGTTATTTTTTTTTAAGATTTATTTATTTATTCATACAGAACTGGGGTACAGGCCAGAGTTGCGGAGGGTGAGAGGATTCACCAGAGACGGAGTAGGGAGCAGAACAGGCAGATCATGGAAGTACACTGCTGAGGGGAGCAGCGGGGCGGGTCAGGAGAGGTCTGCCTCGCCATGTGGTCGCCTCCGGGCAGGCGGGGATGGAACTCATGCGGAAGCGGCTTTAGTTTCTTAGTGCTGTGCTTTAACCCGCTGCGCCACCAGGGAGGGCCCCAGACAAAGTGTTATTTTGATGGGTCTAATTGGTCAGTTCTTTTCTTTTCTCAGGCTGTTGGTTGGTTAGAATGTTGTTTAAAAAAGATGGGGCCTGGCCCTCCCTGGTGGCACAAAGGATTACATCTCAGCACTATGAAGCTATACTATAACCACTGCAGCATGAATTTGATCTCTGGCCAGGGAGGTGACCCACATGATGCAGCAGACCTCTTCTGTCTCACCCACTGCTCCCCTCAGCAGTGTATTTCAGTCATTCCCACCTTTTCTGCTCCCTACTCTGTATCTGGTGAATCCTTTCAACCCCACACCTTTGATCTGTACCCTAGTTCTTGTATGCATAAATAAATCTTAAAAAAAAAAAAAGACAGGCTCTTCCAAGAGGAAGGTGCCAATCTTTGTGCTTGACGCTGTTGATGAAGCAGAAATTTGACTGACCAAGTGCCCCATACAGTTGGAGGGACTCTGAATGAGGCTCAGAGAATAAGAACCAGCTAAAGGAGCAGCCTTAGAATCTATAATAAGACCAGCCATATTTTGAGGATCTTCCCTCCAGGCATTAAATCCTGACAACAAACTTTGACCAAAGATAGGCCTACTTTCTCCCTGTTCCTCTACTTTCTTTCTTACTTCCACCTGACACAGTCTTGTCTTGCATAAAGCATCTCTTTCTCCCCATGAGTCAGCCCTGACTGACCAGAACCCCGCCATCTAAGCCTCTGCAGATTCCAGCTCTCTGTGAGGGAGGCCCTGGCCCGAGGCTCTGAGAACGTTCACTGTGCCACTGCCTCTCTCACCAGATCATGCCCCCAGATCACCTGGACTGTCTGACGCTTTTCCAGAAACCCGCTTTTGGGGGAAGGATTGTGAGTGATGTTGCCACAACAGCTGCCCTTCACTACCTTTGTGGTAGGCTTGCCTCTGTGGATGGTGAAAGTGGGGCTCACTGAAGGGCCCAAGTCCTCATGGGTTTCCTACTTTGAGCCCTCACAAGAGTCCAGAATGATTTCTAGTTGCTCCCAATTACTTCATTCCTCCCTAATGAGATGAGAGTTGGGTTGTTACTGAGAAGAACACAGGCTTGGAGTTACAGACCTGGATTCAAAGTCTGGCTGCATCACTTTCTGAGCCACTTCATAGCAGGCCTTGAGCCTCCCCTCAGACCCACAGCTTGGCTTCCCTCTGTGAAGGGTGGGCCTGTGTTTGCAGGGGGGCTGGTTTCCTGGTGCTGTTCTTCATTCTGGTTTCAAGCAACCTCCAGCCTCACCTGCTTGTGCTATATGTCAGGGACAATTACAGGCACTTTTGAGCATTGCTTTAGTTAATTCCCAAAATGTCAGTGTGAGGTTAATGTCATTATTCTCATTTGAAAAATGAGACTGAGACTCTTGAGATCATTTGAAAGGCAGGACTGCTGGAGCCCAGGTCCTAATGGCTTGAGGAAAGCAAAATGGGGTGACAGAAGAAAGAAGAGACTGTGGAGTCCGATGCCTCTACCTCGAGGACCCCCTAGAACTCCTTCAGACTGTCCCTTTGGTTTGACTTTCCTGTTGTCTTCAAGGAAGGGAGTTGTTCTTGGAGGAATTCTGAGAGTGAAGTGAGTTTGGTATACATAAAACACCTGCTAGGCAGCATGGAGATACCCTAGATTTGACCACTGATCTCCTCCACCCACTCCTGGTAGGCCCAGGCTCATGACACCATGCTGCCTAATGGGATATCAGGCAGGGACACCCATCACCATGATAGGGGAGAAACTATGAGCATTGTATGAGCAGACAACTGAGGATGGCTGAGCAGAATCTTGCACAGTCTGCAGTATTGACATGGGCCCCCAGATGTGTCAGATTTTAAGAGATGAAACATAGACGAGACGATCCCAAGCTTCCACAATGGTAGGGCATAGAGTGTGTGTGAATGTCGCATAAATGAAAGGAATGCATGGTGTGTGCAACCATGTTATTCAGGCTATGGGTGCTAAGCTCTAGGATAGGCTTGGACCAGGCTTTTAAGCTCACACCCCTCAGAGAGGCTGGACTGAGCCCTCCCCCATGCAGTTCACGACTGCCATCTGGTGGTCACCATAGTCTAGGCCCCAGCAAGGGAGCTGAGAGTGGGCAGATTCAGCAAGGCTGTTATCTCCTTCAGAAGGGAAGGTGGGAGTAGGGGTGGGGACTGGGAAGTGATGCAAGGCCTACTGGAAACCCTACTCAGTCCCCTGTACATGTTGGCATGAGAGAGAAAAAGCCCAATATTTCGCTTCAGCATCTCAGACCAGCTGGGATTCTATTTTTAACCTGCATTGTGGTAGTTGACAGCTTGGAACGCCTTCCTCCTTCTTTTCTTCCTCCTTCCTGCCTTTTGCAGCCCAGAAACTTGTAAAAGGATGGATGGCAAATGCAAGAGCTGGTCTCCTCTCTCACTGCCTTCCATCCATCCTTGAAGACAGGGGGTGGATTTTGGAGACATTATTGACTGTGAAGTCAATGAGGCTTGCATTTCAGGGCTCCTCATTTGCATAGGCTCTTCCAAGGCCCTGCTGGGTCTCCTAGCAATTTTGTATCACTAATTTTGTATTATTTCTCTTTTTAAAAGGCACGCAGTTTTAGAAGCATTGGATCCTTTAATGTGGGGTCTGCCCCTTGATTGGCCTCTGTTCCATCTCCAGGTCAGTGTCTACTTGAATAGGATTATTTGTGTCTTGTTCTAGCATGATCTTGAGCAGCTTCCTTTCCTGCCTGGGTCTCAATTTCCCCATCTGTTCTAAGATGAAGTGTTAAGGAAGCCCTCTGCCAAAATTCCAGGCTTCAGATTACCCATGTTTAGCCACTTGATCAGGTTATCTGTCCTTCCCGGTTCCTTTGTCATTGTGCATACAAAAGGGTGATGCTGCTGTCTCTTTCTCTCTGGCGCTGGATCAATCTCACCATCAAGGCGAGTGGGCACTGAGATGCCCACTCAGGTGTGGGCCTCCTTGAACCAGAAAGTCGACCAGGCCCTGACACTGGGATAGAAGACATGAAAAAGACTGTTGTTTTATTAACTTCTGTATATCTGTCATGGGCATTTCAAACCCACATTGGATAAGCTAAGTCATTACATAGAGCTATTTATCTTTTCTGGAAAATTTACTTGATTCCTTAACAATGCCATTATGTCAAGAGAATGTGCTCAAGAATTCTGATGGTCATGAATGCTCTCCTCTCCCAGCCCCCACCCCTGTTCCCAGCTAACAGTTGCCCAAAGGGATTAGACAGAGACTCTCTAGCTTTTTGTCAGGGGGTCATGCTCAGGAGTGGGAAGCAGGTGGGGAGACCTAACTGGGGGAACTTTAAATCCCTTGCTGCCTCACCTGCCCTCCCCTCAAAAAAAAAAAATCCAGAAAGAAAGTTTAAGAGGAAACCAAGTCATTTATTATTTCTTGAAGAGGTTGTCTGAGAGGGGAGGGGGCAGGATGATAGTATTTACCTGGAAAAGAATAAAGGGACTTTTCAGTGCCAACAGCCTGCTGGTCAGGAGGTGTGTGATTAGGCAGGTTGGTGTTTCCAGTGCTGATTGGGAAGGACACCTCGAGGTCACACTGGGGACAGGCTGCAGCCTCTCAGGAGGCAGCCCCATCTGAGCTCCCAGCCTCCAGGAAATCAGTGCCTTTACTCTAAGTGTATGTGAGGCAGGTTGGCCCATCAGAGCTTCCATTGCCAGGACCCAAACGAATGTCCGAGGTCAGTGCCAGGTTTCCAGGTGTCAGGCTCAGCCCCATATCCAGAGTGTGCTGTCTCCTGTGTTCAGGTCCTGTTTGTTTCCTTTGTGTCCAGCAAGCCACCTTTTCCTGGGCAGGGTGTTAGTCCATCTTGTCTGGTGACAGTCCTGTGGGTCAGTTTCAGTGTGTAGGTTTCCAGGGTATGTGTGTTTGGACTGGCCTATCCTGCTTCAACCCCTTCTCCTCCTCCACTCCTCAGCCAGGCCCCAGAGTGCTGATGGTGGTGTAGCTCAGCCTGGACAGGGAAGCAATGGAGGGTGTGGGAGGGTCCTCCTCTGGAAGGGGCCTGGGGCGGGCTCGTGGAGGTCGAGGGCAGCAGCGGACGCACGTGTCGAGACAGGCTTGGCGAAAGCGACGGTGCATGAAACAGTAGACCAGAGGGTTGACACAGGCCGAGGCGTAGCTCAGCAGGTGGATAAAGGAGATGGGTGCGCCCGAAAGTGCACGATGTGCACCAGGACCGTCGAAAGCACGCCAAGTGTTGGCGCTATACACTGGCAACCAGCATAGGAAAAACAGCACAACAATCACCAGCAACATCCGCACCACTCGCTTCTTAGCTAACAGCTTGGCCTGGATGGGCCCTTGCCCCGGTCCCTGCCCAGGAGTGGGTGTGGTCAGCGCGGACAGCTCCAGAGCAGGCCGAGAGCGCGGGAGCTGCACGTAGCAACCATCGCCGTCCTCACCAGCCAGCACGGTCTCTGACACGCACCGCCCGTTCGAATGTGCAGGACCTGAGAACAGACGTTGGGAGATCAGAGCAGAGGGTGAGGTGTCTCCACTTCAGCCCAACCCTTTTGACCCCCCAGTTCCCAGCAGCTCTTCCTTCTCCTCAACATCCCTGGACTCCAGGCCCCGCCCCTCCCAAAGCCCCGCCCCTCTTGCATCTGACCCTCAGATCCTGCCTCACCTGGCAGTCCTCTTTGGTTTCCTACTCGGCTCTGGCTCTCAGTGTCACTGTCACTGTCAAAGCGAAGCCCTAAGTAGAGTTCACGGGAGATGAGCCCGTAGGCCACCGCCATAACCACACCCGGGACGAAGAACAAGAGCAGGAGCAGCAGTACAGACCTGGAGACAGAGCACAGAACGGTCACGCGGACTCTGTCCAGCATTAACCACACATGGAAGGACCACCAGGGGCTGATGCTTCTAGGGCTGGTGGCCAGTTCTCAGAGAGAGTAGCATTTGGGGGTGCTGCTGGGAAGGGCTCGAAACTGGGGCAGGGCCCCAAATGGGAATCCCACACTGGTGTGTGCGGAAAAGGAATTGGTGTGGTAATTCTTGGAGCAGCTGGAGGAGATTCTGGGAATGGTCCTAAGCATAGGATGGGGATGGAGAAGGGAATTCCCAAGAACAAGCAATAGGATCCCTCACCACGTTTGTCGAATCCGCGCACTGGGCCAGCGATGCACGCACTGCAACACACGGGCCCCCGCCGGCTGCACGCTGGTGAACACTGGGTAGGGCACCATGAGCAGACCCGACAGTATCCACGTGGCTACAATTACGCGAGCCGCGTGGGAGCGTGTCTGCCATACACGCGCCTGCAGAGGTCGGCAGATGGCGCTGTACCGTTCCAGGGCGATGGCCACCAGGCTTAGCGTGGACACACTCACAGACACCCCTAGGCAAGGGAAGAGGCAGGAGTCAGGCAGGGAATTTGCACTTGCACCAGTATGACCCCCCACCTCCACTGGGCCATCCATGCCTCTACTTTCTTCAAGGATGTTAGGAAAGGAGAGGGACAAGGAGAGGGGCAGGTGGGTTGTCTCACCTACCCATGAGGTAGGAAACTGCCTTGCAGACAACGGTGCCAAAGATGAACGTGCCCATGAGATTGGGCAGTAGTGTGAATGGCATGCAGGCCACAGCCAGCAGGAGGTCGCTGACTGCCAGTGAGAGCAGGAAGGCGTTGGTGACCGTCCTCAGGCGGCGGCTCAGTCCCAGGACCACGATGATGAGCATATTTCCTCCGACACTCATCAGAAAGATCACTGCATAAAGAGTGATCCTAATGGCCAGCTCCAGTTCTGGGGACAGAGGGGGGAGGTGGTGACAGTGGGGATCTGGCTCCCACCTACCCAGACCCTCCAGTCTCACATCTCTCCATCCCCACTACCTGGCCAGATACCCTGCTGCCCAAGGGGCAACTCCTCTACCCAAGACTCAGTCAGTAAATGGTGAACTTGAATCCTTTATGCTTCTGATATCCTGACGCTTAATCACTTTGGCTAACTCTACCTTTTCTTAAGAAAACTTGTCTCTTCTCAAACTTTGCTTCACATCCACCCTTCTTTTTGCAGCTAAACTTCTTGAAAAGATTATCTGAATCTTCTCATTCACTTTTCAATCCACACACAGACTGATGTCCTGTCCCCGACCCTGTTTGAGCACTGCTTCCCGACCCACTAAGCTGTAACCACCAAATCCACAGAACTCCTCAGACTCAATTTTCCCATGACATCTGATACTGTTGACTACCCACTGACTATTGAAATAGGCCATGTCATATCCTTAATGTCTAAAATAACTCACATGCACACAAACCACTTTGCCTACTCTCTATTATCTGTAGTTCTTTAGCATGTCATCAGGTTCTCAGAAAACTGACCTCTGCCCTCCCACCTCCTCTTGCCCTAGAAGACTCAGTTTCTAGAAGGCATCATGCACCCTCATGATGTGCACACTCACCTTAGTTTCTCAGCCTGGAATGTTCTTCCATGGTCCCTCTAGTTACTTCCCACACCCCAATAGCTCTCCATCACTAACTTGTTTTCTTTAACTGGTAAATAGCCATTCATCCCTCATCCTTCAGGCTCAGAAAGGCCTCTGCTAGAAGGCTTTCCTGGACACCTCATTTGGAGTTAGTATCCCTTTCCTCTGACCCACAATGTCATGCTCCAGACAAATGCTTTGCTTTGTCCCTCCTCACTCATCCTTCACCTTTCTGCCTCTAAACCTCCAGCATACACCCTCTGTGTTGCAGTTTTTTCTTTGGAAATGCATGTTGGAGGATGTGTGTGTGTGTGTGTGTGTGTGTGTGTGTGACACTGTGATTTTGAATTTTATTTTTTACTGTTATACACAAACCATCTGTATCTTAGAAGCTGGGTCCCTCTTTGCAGGGAAGTCTTATATGTGTGTATGTGTGTGTGCACATGTAGGGGAAAATGAAGGCCCTGTGGAAGGGGGATTTCTGTTAGAAAGGTTCTTAACTCTGAAAATTGGAGCTGGTGGTCTATCTTGTTTCCATTGTGTTTTCTTGCCACCAGCTCCCCAATCTTTCTGGTTTTAACCACTCACTCATATCCTCTGTTTCTCTTCAGCTAGTACTTGATTCAGTAACCACACTAAGTTGGTACAGTATTCTAAATGTAAAAAGCACATTGTTTATCCCTCCAGCGCATGTTTTCTATCCAAGCACCCTTGAATATGACTGACTGTGGTGGGGTAGAAATCTGAGACCAGGCCTGCTTTTGTGACATCCCTATGTCATGGGGGCTCCTGAAAGCTAGAAGTCAACATCTCAG